GCAATGTTGATACTGACATACAACCCTGCTTCTTCCAAGCAGCCAAAATACCCAGGGGTTTCTGACATCCGAGGCTAGGTTGCAGTTTCTAAAAGTCATTAGAGTGCTCGGCTCTAACTAGCTCATCACCTTGCCCGGGGATCCATGCAGCTATGCCGACGTTTCAGGTCTGTTTGGCTGCCCAGCTCTGGGAGCTGAGTGGCTAATCTATCGAAAAGTGGTGGAAGCACTGCATAGAGAAAAATGTGAAGACGCACTGCCTTTCTGGTGCGGGATTCATGAAAGAACTTCACAACTGGCAGACATTGCCGGCCGTTATCTGTGAATTCGGTAGATGCTGAACGAAGCTTTAGTGCCTACGAAAATGTTGTGTCTGTCAACTGTCACAACCTTTCAGACGATAGCACAAAGCACCTTGTTGGGCTTTATTTTAATTCCTCTGTTTTGAGTCATGTGATATGTATCTATTGGATGAACGTGCCTGAATTTCTATTCATTTTCGTCTTAGCGGGGAAAACACGGAATTTTAGCACGGCAGCAATTTCGCGGAAAATTCGATTTAGATCGCGGAAAAATGTTTTACCACCGCGAAAAACTTGTGTCTTTGCTTATTACCGTCTTTCATAATTGGTGGTTTTGCGATGGCTAAGCAGCGGTCTTCAGTCCTTTTGAAATGTCGACGGCGACCTGAATGGCCATGCTGCATAGATCCTAGACATGATCACAGGCGAGTGGGTGAACCATTCATAAAGTCTTCGTTGCATCCACTGCGCGAACCGTCCACGTTGCGTCAACCAGAATCTACAAAGCCCGCTGACATGTTTATGGACAATTTCCATCTATCGAGGATCGCGTGAACATTGGGATTCTCAAGCCACCTCTGAAATCCCTTCAAACATGGCGATGAATGGCCAGATGAGCACTTTCACGATTTAAGTTGACCTCAACCCAGAGCAGCGGCCATCTCATAGGAAAGTGGGACGTGGAAAATAGATTTCCTGCGCACTGCGTGCCGCTTTAACTTACAGATTGGTTTAGTTCACCATTGATTGTTTTTTAAAGCTGATCTCATGCTTTGTTGACAGAGATTCTCCGCTGGAGTTATATCTATGCAGCAGCTTTTTCCAACTAGTTTATGGTGTTTGTGCAACTGTTCTCCTGAATACGAATTTTGTTTGATACCTACTTGGAGGCCTTTTGGAAATCAGTGGTTTGTCAGTTAAGGCAGACGCATATGTTCTCCCAGTTACGCTTCGTAGCATCCCATGATATTATTTGGTCTGACAGTCGAAACGTCACACTCCACCGATAAGGCACATTCGGCCTGTCCGACCGTGGTATTGGCTACTCGAACTTGTCACGCTGTGATCGTATGCCAGGTGAAAGCATTAAGCCACAACCGCAACCATCACAATAGCATTGTATATGATAACGCCGTTATTTAGACCAAACACACGCATCTTGTTAGATATCATCTTGGGAATAACCTGAGATCCGTCTGGATACATATCACACTACATCAATCAAGGGGGTCGGAAACACCTGTTTCATGGTTGGTCAATTAAGTTTACCCGTGTTAGTGCTTCGCAGCGGTTTTTATGAGGTACTCTCTCCGTTTTCAGTCACCCATTTTGGTCACTAGTCGTTGAAAGATGTAGTTTAGCCCCCGATGCAATTGAAATGTACGTGGTGCATTGCTACTGGGGCGAGATCTACGGTTGCACACTTCAACGGGAAATATCAAGTTCGTCATTCGTGTCAGCTAGTCCTTCTACAAGCAGTATTTCTTGGGCCATCTTTTATTGTTTGTCCTCTCCTCGTCAACAACCTTTTGTTCAGCCGCCACCACCTACTGCAGCAATTCACCGACCACTGCGCATCAGTCCAAGCGTCGTCCCTTGCTGTCTGCAGATTTATACCTTAGCCTGTATGTGTTGATCGAAGCAATGGGTATCTGCCCTTGGTGATTCCTGGTTGTGAGTGTATCGAGTCCCGCATGATTTCGTCCATTTTCAGCGTACAACTACGACGCATCCATGCATGCCCACTGTATCGGGCGCTGCGTCGCATGAATTACAACTTCGTAACATCGACTCCATACTCGTTCGGACACCGATGCCAAATAACACGGCCTCATCGCCACAAGAGCCTTGCCTCTATCGCCACTACTTGACGCCCAGGACACGGGGCTGGACGGCCTTGCTATGTGATACAATCACGTGACCATACACGCACTACTGCCTATTTTGTAACAATGAGTGACCAGTGGGCTTTGCTGGGCTAATTACTCACAGGTCAAATCGATCTAGCACTTGGCATATCATATGATGCGGCATGTGCCACTTCTTAGTTCATGTGCTCAGCATGGAGCTCATGATCTACGGTCTTCCCATTCTTCGCTGTGCTGTTTTCTGAGACTTGTGCATTCGTTGGTCTTTCTAATTACTACAACTTCATCCCTATCTTGAGCAATCGAAATGGTCCTGCGCTGTGGTGACTCGTGTTATATCCACTCTCAGATCACTGCACTCGCCAACCAGTGGGCGTCTCAGGCAGTTGGAACTGGAACTCGTGATATAGTTTCTGTCAAACGCCTTTACCATTAAGCCACAGGAGCCTATCATTATAATAGCGCGATTTACCTCAAAACGAACCGTGGTTTAAAATACAATAATCGCTCGTGACATGAAAGCAAATGTTGGTAGCTCAGATTGTTCAGTTGGTGGTCAGAGTGTTCGCTTAGCTCGGCAGTTCTGCTGCCGAGGTGACATCATCAGTGTGCTATTTTGTAGTGGAGCGGAGGGGCGGGATGCGTTGAGCACTACAAACTTTGGAATGCGTTTCTTCAAACGTATTCCTCCTTCCCTGCTGCTGAGAAGGCTATGCGCGGAATTCTCGACCCTGCTTGCACGCGTGCTTAGCTTCGCATTTTCTTCCGCATATTTACCTAGTCCAGCGAAGAATTGCTTTGTCACTACGGTCTACCTAACCGATTCACTACCATTTTCTCATTCTTTCTGCTGTACTTCTTGTCTGTGACTCATTTATTGTCTACTTGAGCATCCAGTTAACTATTGTGACCTCATTCAAGATTATTTACGATGTTATCTTTCTGAATACATTTCGTGAAAGAGGTTAGTTACCTGCTTGGGTGGCCACCAGACTCATCCCCACTTTGCGCGGCGTGCCATACGCAAGCTGGTGCAAGAGGCTAGAATTTTACACCCTGACTTATCCTCGAGTGCGGCTTAACTTCATGACGCACCGGACATTACATCTTGGTGACTACCTCATGTTGAGGCCTCTACTCCATATGCGCGCACCAAGCGGCACGCGAGGACACCAGTACAAGCTTGTTGTACCGGATCTGAAGCGTGTCGCCCACTAACTCTGCTTCGAATGGAAAGTGGTGAATAACTGGAACAGCGCCGCCGCACGTAGTCGAAGCAAAGTGGTGTCGGAATTCAAAAATCCCTTGAAAAACACTGCCAATATGAAATATCCGGAAAAATCGCCAACACAATTGATCACCTTAGCTGAATGATTTTAGATGCAGATACACAGAGATATTTTCTTGCTGCTTCCATCCAGTAATTCGTTTGTCTCATCTTGCGACTCTCTTGGCCGCGCCGGAATGGGTTCGCATCGTGGTATGTGGCCCCGTACTGTCCTTACGGCTTCAAAGCTACTTTCACTGCTGTGTTAAGATACCCTTTTTCTTTTCCTGACGTCGGACTTGGATTGAAAACATGTTGGTGAAAAGTTCCGTCTGATTTCTTCCGCCTATTCGCATTGCTGTCTTTAATCTTACTTGGATGATATTGGTCAGCTCCTTGCGTTTTGGCGATTCCTTCACATAGTGCTAGGTATCAGCAGTAGGTCGGCACACTGTACCGACGCTTCGCTGCCACGCGACCACCATCTGTTTCGCGTGGGTTGCGTATATCGCTAGGCTTGCCCCCACCTACGGCGCATTCGCACCGGCGACCTCCGGATTACAAGACAAGCGCCCAATCCTTTAAGCCACCGGCCGATCGATGGTTTTTTCATTCATGGGATTCTTTTGAGACTGTATTTCACTACTCCACATTCCTATCTACGTAATACTTATTTCTGTCCGCTTGTTTTCCCGAAAGCAGCATGGTATGACAGCGTATAGACGTATTATTCTCCATATCGGCAATGCTGTCCTGCACGCGCCGTTGTTTGTAGCGTCTAAGTTAAGGTGATGGTAAATCAACGTTTCTTTTAACTGGAAGTGTGTGGATGTCGGACTCGTGCTCTTGCTAACTGTGCCGTCGTATTAGGGTTGTATTGCTTTTAGGCTTCGTGTTATGACGCGCTGTTGTTTCTTGTACACTATCTATCTAATCATTCACTTTGATAGCGGTTTACCTTTTAAATAAACTTCGGTGTTACCCACTCTTAATTCTGCATTCCTCGACCGGTTTCGATCTTGCTCGCTGTCTTCAAGTAGAGAGGTTCTCTAAACGGAAATCGGGTTTGCTTTCCACTACCCACCGTTATACCTTGCTCACCACCTATGGTGGATCATTCACGATTAAGTCTGGGTACCGTTTCATTCGGTATCTTCTTAGACCGGCAAGTCTCATTCACGGGACGAAGTCTCGACGTACCGAGGCATTGATTTTCGTTCAATTAACCATTGCCTCTTTAATCGATACGAAGCATCGATCGTATTGCTACGCATATCGGAGACATCTACGAAGTGTTCCGAGCAGATCATTCCACTGAGACAGCTTCGCACCGCACCATGGTCCATCTATCCGATTATCACTCTAAGATATACTAACACCGATTTGCTCCCTACATATTTCGATTTCACCGTATAAACAATCCACTATTTTTCACTGAATCTGAAGAAAGTTGTATGCCTACTATTACTGTTGGGAATTCATCCCGGGGCTCAGCGAATGCATCTACTGCTGCCCCTTCCGTATTCGTACGTTCACCATCCGTCCGTTGTCTCATCATTACAGGTACGCGCACTAGTTCACGAAACTCTGAAAGAGGGTGTCGAGGATCTTAAAAAAGCAAACAACGAAGTCCGATGGATGGACACCGTCCACATCATGGTGAGTGACTATGGGCATTATCGATTTCACCAGGTTTCGTTCTTCCTTGGTGCCTTTGACTAAATGCTTTCCGTGAGCATAGGCACATCTTTTCTGATGTCGTGTGGTTTCTTTGTTCGAAATGTGTTACGCAGTTACGATTGACTTGTGGTATCTGTTCCATGCCTACTCTTCTGCATAACTCCATCGAGTGGTAGCAGCTTCACTCTCTCCCCTTCGTTTCCATGCTGGCGGGCACATTCCTTCCGATTTAGTTAGACAGTTGCAGTGGGAACATCGAAGTGAAACGAACTCTCAACTGCTTCGCCCCACGTCGTGATGATAATGTGCACGCAATAAATCCATCCGGCGCTTTCTGTTTCCATGTTTCATGTGGATCGGGGCCCCGGGATGATCCACACCAGTGGTTATGGGCTCCATCTCGGACATCGCGCATTCAGTGACATTCGGTTTCTTGCATATAGCTGTCAACCCACATTCTATCTCGATTAGTTTTGCGTACTTTTCTCTGTATCCTATTTGTATTCAACCTCATTTTCCTACCGTTGTTGTTTATTATTCCGGCAAAGTGAATTGCGACAGCTGGATCCACCGCTCTTCGATGTCCGGATTTTACTTGTCCAACTGAACTGCACATCACTGCTGCTAATAATAAGAAAATTGGTCCACTCTATGACTCATCTCACTTTGCTGGTGATGCTGGGAATTCCGCGTTTCGAAAAGCCACCAGTTTTATTTAAGCATGCGTCCCAATCCTGTCACGTTCACGAATGCTTCGACATTTTTTGTTATCTGAAATATTTCCCATTTTGTGGCAATCTTTAACAATTTAGGGGTAGAAAAAGCATGCCTGAAGCTCTACTTATAGTTCTGTCACCCAGGTACATCATCGACGCTGTTTACTACGTCGACTTTTCCGTCCAGTTTTACCTTCGATACCCCTGCAAATTGCGGTTTTTCCACACAGCACAGAGGGCCCTGGGTTTTCTGCACTTTTCGTATTCCTTGACACTAGTTAAACGAGTAAGTGATTAGCCAATTGGCTTCAAGGTAGCTGGTACTGTCTGTCAGTCCTACACGCTTGGAATCATCAATAGACCACAAGTGTGGCCGTACCGTGGCTGCGTACCGTGTACGCAGCGTATACGGTAGAGACCAGAAACATGATTGCAATTCGAGGCGTAAGTGTCCTCCTTCCGTATCTGCCGGTGCAATTTCATCTGCAAGGTACTCGATCATATTTGCTCTCTGGGTCTGCTAGACACCATACGAACCACTGAGCGTGGTCGTCGTCACATGCACCAACATTTGCCGCATCAGACTTTATCGTAGCTGCACCGGTTCTGACACGGTTCTGAGTTTTAAAAATAAGTCTATGTTTTAGCTGCTATAGAGGTAGGCGTTAGCTTGGGCACTGAAGTCCAAAATATACTCGGCGCTCGCAACTTGGTGGCTACACTTTGCTTTAACCGTGCGTCTACCTTTAGGATAGATTATCGTTAGGCTTTTTTGCACTTCGACTCCCCACTTTTCTCATGCTTATTGTATGACGCCACATTACTGGAACTTCTTTTCGCTTCCTCATTTCCATTCACCATGGCAGTAACGCATTGTCACTTGCAGTGGACAGTCTATACGCACTTCAGGCCAGTCGATTGCCTTTTAATCTTCCCTATCAATCATGGACGCCCCCTTCCAATAAACTTTTTAAAACCATATATTGACACAACACATCCTTCGTCTATCCCGTTTCGTCTTTCTCAAAAGGAGGCATCCAGTCGTCTCATCACCATCACCAAAAGCATTACATTAGCCTTTTGAACTGATGCTTCGCTGTGGTGCAACCACTGTGACCTATGGAAGGAAGAATTATAAGTGGAAGGGAAGGGGGACTTACCAGAAAACCTAAATGCTTTAAGCAGACATTCATGGTCAAGTCGCCTATACCTCGTGCTAAAAACGTACCGTCACAAACAGCTGGCTATCGTGCAAATATAAGGCGGCATCAACGAAACAGCTTCCTTGCGGCTTTCACTGCCCCGCGTTATAATCATTCATTACCCTGCAGATAATTCAGCACCAAACACACTGTAAACAGGCAGTCCGACTAGGAGAGGACAGCGGACGCGCCACTGGTGCCGACTGCGAGCCATGCTCTGTGATGTCACAAGCCAAGCACAAGGCGGGTCATGTGGACTCTGGCGTGGAAGGCGACATAGGAAAACGGCATCGAGTTTGGTCATCAGTGACTTAATTTCTTGCCGCCAAGTCAACTTTTGCCCACCTCGGGCCTTGCGCCATCCTACATTTGGCAGACAAAACAAGGCCCTCCTCGGTTATCGGTAACGTACGTAGACTTGCCCAAGCCAACACAACTTATTCACTGATATCTGCTGTTCTAAGCAACTAGACTGGTTATCACTGTCTAGTACTCGCCTAGGCACATCATCGTTGCGGACGCTCTAGTGTCATCTGACTCCAACAATGCCTCGCAGACAGCTATAATCAAAGACTCAAAGGGGTCGATCCTCAATGCCACGGAATAGAACAGCCCTAGCTTTGGCCTTATAGACCGAGGGAAACTCATTTCTGAACACCATGATGTCGCAGCTTCTAAAAGGTACTTTTGACTTTTGCGACACGTAAGCTGACCTCAGTACATATGCGCACATTGTTGCTGATGCAGTTGCTAAAGTAAGTGGATTGATCAACTACTTCGAGTTTCTTGCCATCAAGGGTCAAGGGGTCATCAAGTAACTGGTGATCCTGCAACAACACTGCACTTTGAAGGTGCGAGGCTCATGCCAAATGATGGGATCACTCTAGGACGGGGTTATTCAAGGTTGACTGGGCTGCTCAACATCGTTAAACAGCAAGGCAATATTGTCCGTATAATAAAGATCAACTAGCTTTTCACCAGGAAGCATCTCAAAGCCTGGACCGTGAAATTCCGCAAGGGAACACTCGATGATGGAGTGCAGTCGGACAAAGTGGGGAAATTGGGCGGCCCTGACGACCGTCATTTGTTGTCGGAAAGGCATCCTACTAAACAACCATAGACCCTGACTTGATTATTCCGTCGCAACGAAACTGGACCTTAACGTGGCCGACGGTTGGCATACTTCTTCGGCCCATCGAGCTATACTGAGTTGTGCCCTCGCTTCTCTTGAGAGCTACTCCCACCAGATTGGTCAGTGGTTAGAGGTCAGACGAACGCAGTCGGCTGGTTCTCCAGGTTGGGAGTTTGAAATGAGATAGCGTCCATTTCTGTAGAACTAAATTTCCACCTTCCCGCTGCCTTGCGGACAGGCTTTTGAGCCAACGGCTTTGGTTGAGGACCCTGCTCGTGCTCCTGTCTAGGTCCGGGCATCCTGCGAGTATCTCAGCCCACATGCAGCCGTGATTGTTCCCTCAAACTCCAGTCGCCTTAGAGCGGTCGACGTCATACTATGATAGTTACCTTAGCGGACCGCTACTCCGTAGATTGGAATTGGATGCTTACCATACTATTGCACAAGTTGGAAAGCCTGGACACACCGCTGCGACCGATACCATGTTACTGGTACTCCTGTTTCCTTTTGTTTTTTTTATCTCCCTTCCCCGGTGATCCCGGTTACTGTAGCGATATTCGACACACACGTTTTGTATCTGTTCTCTTTGATTCTGATGCACGTAACGTATGTCTCACCTATTCTTCCTCCCAGTTTCAATGTTGCGGCTACAACGGCCATCTCGACTATGGTCTGCGTACACCGGCGAGTTGTTGCGCACACCAAGAATGCTCGCCGCTGGATCTCTTGAGACCCTACTTGCCGGTTAGTGTTCTCTTTTATGTCGCCTATGCCCATGTACATGTTGTTCAAACATGATTAGTATTTGTCAGGTTGTAAACTTTGTTTCATATGCTCGCCTTTCCATGTATTCATAGAGTAATCGCTGGATAATAAATGTCCTCAGTGACATTCTTGGAAACTGGACGTAAAGGAAGCAGCAGTGTCCTGGTTCCCCTGTCTTAGCTGCATATCTTCACTTGTTCAACCCCGTGAAAATAAGGCTCTTTTTGCATGAAACCATAAATGCTTACGTACCGGCTAATAACGGAAGGACCGATTTATCAACTGCTCCACGTCGAATATCTGTTCGCTTTGTAGTTTTCACCCACAGATTTGTATATAGTAGAATATTAATTAGTAATGACATCATTTTCTTGTTCTAAGTAACTACAGAATGGATCACTTGTACCTCTATGAAGTATTTCTCAGTCCATTCTTCTTGTTCACTCTAACTTGTAGTTCTACCACTTTGGTTTCGAATGCCAATACTTCTTGCTAACGATTGAATACTCCAATTCGTTGGTGTATATTTACTGTCCGTTTTCCCTCTTTTCTTCCACCCTCTATGCTCCGCAGGGTTGCAAGGTGCGCATGGACAACATTATGCACAATTACTTCATCGTCTGTGTCGCTGTCATCTCTATCGCGTTTGTTGAAGTGAGTGTGGCTTTTCCTATGGTACCCATTATTTAGGTTTATCCTGTTCCCTAGCTACTATCTACGCGTCGTGCGTCCGTGGGTAAAGCGTATCGAAGAAACCGCTCTACAAGACCGGTTTTCTTCAGCCTACGAGGCTCAGACTCAGTGTGCCACATCTTGTACACCGCCCGGCATCGAATTTAGCTGCTTGCGTACTGAACGCATTGCATCTGAAACCAGCGAGTTCTGAGTGATTAGCACACTGGTCCCAAACTTGCAGCAGTGCTTTTTTTAGTCTGTTATCTAAAGTCACAGGTAAAGATAATTATCTGCCCCTGATCATCAGGCTTCTATAGACCTAATTGGTTACTTTCAGCAACAGAATTTCATTTGACCTTATCCTCTTTGTTCTTTTATGCTATGAGAATGCATTCCACATTTCGACGCACTTGATCCTTTTGCCTCCGTCATGTCCTTGCTAATGCGCTCTAAGCTGACGGACCTTGTTTCTCAGTTGTCAACCACGTGGAGTCACCAACTGTATCGGATTGATACTACGGTTGCTTCCTCCCACGCAATTTCGCGGTGAGAAGGATGTGAACCGGGCCTCCTACTCATGCACTGTAGTATCACTATCTGATGCCGTGGTTTTCTTTGTGCTAGATATGTCCCATTGTTTATAGCGGTTTCCGTTAGCTGTGCATTCGATGTGCAGGACTCCTGTCGTACTCAACAGGGCTGGGTGCAACAGCGAAGATATTCAACCTTGCATCGCTTCTCCCATTCGACGCCCCCCATCCGGCAAGGTGGTTGTTTTCCTCTTATCCACTGACCTATTCATTGTTCCTACTCCACCGTTGTACTACAACCAATCAACCGCATTCACAGGGTTATATGGTTTCTTGTTTTAAACATCAACGACATTCGCCTCAGCACACTTGATGTGTGGGGTGTAGCACATCAGCTAACCATCCTATTAGTTTGATCTCAATTCCCGCTACCTGTCGTTCCACAGCACATGTTCAGGTCTAGGCAACTAGGCAACATTCCTCTTTTACTAATTTGCCCATGAATGCGAACATCACCACGAAGGAATGAATGCCCTCTTCTTTATTATTTCCACTCTCTGATTGGGATGTAACTTACTCCTGCAATAATTATTTACCAATGTAAAGAGGTGGTTTTATCGAACCACATGATATAGGCTTCGATTTCGACCACCATATCTCAACTCACTTCTTGGCGCATGTAAGCTGGATACAAGTCTTTGCCTTCTTCACTCACATTGCGTGGCACTTTGTTACTTTTGCCATTAACGAGCACGAGGTTTTCCGCGGCAGACTGAGCGCTAGCCCGAGCCAATGGTAAAGCGAGTTGATATTTTGGCCACCACACTGTGCGACAGGGTCTTTGTAGTTGCCACAACAGACATTCCAATCGAGTTTCACACAATGTGCGCTATGCAATTCATCATGTTTGCCGTCCCGTGGCATTTGCTGCCTGCAAGACTACGGGCGTCGCTTGGAACTTGTCTATCCACCCACTGATCTATCAACGTTAGCCTTGACCTATCCATACGTTGCTGTAGTTTATCGCGCAACACCTACTTTCTGAACAAATCAAATCAAAATAGGCTTTACGCACCCGGTTAGGTACATTTTCGGCATTTTACACTATCACTATGAATGGGGAAACGCATGAAATCAATGTGGAAAAGCAACTATAGTGCCCACTGCGAAAAAAGGTGTAAGCACATCACTCAATCAAACACTTGTGCATCATACTGATGAATCTCCTTTGGTCATCAGGTGACAAGTGCGATGGGATGCAATTGGGGTGAGGTGCGTGCAGTAGACGCAAATGATACTTTATTTAGAGCATTTAGAAGACACATTTGGACTTTTTGATCAGACATCATGTAATGGGTGGAAAGGGTCTTTTAGAACTTTGATGCAAAAACTAGTACAGGCGCCTACATGTTTCAACTCATAAATTATGCCCATGAACGGATTAAACAAAAGATAGTTGCGAAGCAATTTCTTTTCGATAAGTCTCTTCAGGCATGTACAATTATGAATCAAGTTGACATTGGAATAATAAGCTACTTCTAGCTTGTCACAATTAAGCCGGCTCGGGTCTGTTCGGTGTCGTATTCAGTGACCGACTTTGAACATCGCCATAGATCAATTAGCCTGAAGCCAGCCGACTGGTTCATGGCCATGGCAAGGTCAAACTTCGCACCAGCGCCTTCTGTTTGCATAGCTCTGATTTCAGCTTTCTGAATGCAATGACTCCCACAGTTATCAGAAAATACTTTCTGAGTCCCTTAGAAACCCATTTTGACACAATATAAAGCGTTTTGAAAGAGTCTTTGATTTGAACACGGTGTTCACTACTCACAAGGTGTTGTAAAATTGAGCTTTGGACCGTCTGGACAGTACCATGCCGTAGAGAGGCAGAGCAATGCTCCGCTGTGCACTTCGGCAGGTGCCTGGTCATGTTCCCGATGTACCGTGCACCACAACTGCAGGTGAACTGATATGAGACCTACGATTCGGATTTTTGTCCTTGAGGTGTTGGGTTATGAACGGAGCACTCTCGCTGAGGACTTGAACTCTGGCGGCTGGATATGTCTAGTTCACTGCGGTCGACAATTTCCTTTTCAGCAGGTCAAACGGAATATCACCTGAAAGAAAATGTCCTGTTTTCTCACAGTTGCTGTCAATTTAGGCCGAACTTGAACCATGGCATGCTTCTTGATGAATGTGACAGGGCATTCATTATTTACCACCGTTCTGACAGCGAATTCCTTCTCGGCTTCAATTTTCTCTGAGCTTCAAATGTTTGCGGCACGATAGAACACGCAACTCACTAGGTTTCGTTTATACTTCAACGGCACAAAACTGAGCAAGTGCGTATATTGTCCTATCCAGCTTGGCTTCCGGTACATGCTTCGTTCCAACGAACCATCGTCTTTTCGTCTCAGCAAGAGGTCCAGCTAAGGTAGCTCATTGTCTTCTTCCATCTCGTAAGTAAATTTCAAAAATGGATGGGCGCTGTTAAACTGCCTCAGTAGGTGGACATAATCAGTATGTAGATCACAAACAATGAATATATCATCCATATATGGTTGGTAACAGTCAAGCGATACGATTAAGTGCTGAGTAAGCCCCATTTCAATCTTCACAAGAAAAAGTCGGGAAGTAGCGGTCTCAAAGACGACCCCTTCGCAACACCATCTATTGATCAACAATATTTCCTACCAAACAAAAACTGTCTATCGAATATGCAGCGTAAGCTCGGTTCTTTGACGCTTTGTAAGAAAATGCCGATGGTGATGTTGTTTTCGGTTAGGTACTCGCAGATAAACTTGACAGTTTCTATTTAGCAGAACGTCTGTAAAGAGTGATTGCACGTTTGTTGAATAAAATCAACAAGGGCCTCTCTGGTCAGCTCACTGCATCTGGAAATAAGACTGTAGAAACAACGTCTTTTTCTGAGTAGCCCAAGAAAAATTACTTGGGAACACTGAATGCAGGCAGTCACCAATTAACAAAACCAAATCACGGGGTACCGAGAATATTTTAAGCTTGAGGACCTTCTGACCTTGTGAAACGTATCGGCGACATGGGTAGATGTTTCCGATGATGACGAAAAGAAATCCGTTCAGAAATTTCGGTTTACACTCGATTAAATGACAGCTTACTTTTGATGCTATATAGATAATAAGATTGTTGAATTACACCATTATTGGCTGACATAGATGATAAGGCCTCCCCTGCGATTCTACTGCTTTCTAGGGCGGTCGGTCCTTAATACACGATATTCATCGAGTTGAATTACCTCATCGTACAAACCAGGATGTAGCCAATTTTTTTAAACATTTCAATGTCTGCGTTTGCATATTCCTTACGCTGCTTAGTTGCACTGAGGTCAGCAACTTTACCAAGGAGGGCGCACATTGCTGGAGTGAATAAGCGGAATTTACGCTCTATTTATAGGACAGCGTCTGATTCCAGCTTGCCAACCAGCACGGTGCTTTCTCATTTTACCAAAACGTTTTTACAATAATTCGTTTGATGGTGTTTTCGACTTTGACCTCACGCTGCATAAGTCGCGTTTCGTGCAGCGTCTCAGTACAATTTTAAAGAATCGGCAGAGCAGGATAACATTGATAACATCAAAATTGATAAATCCGCAGTAGATGGTGTAATCACTGGTAGCCCAAGGAGAGAGACAGCAACGGCCGATTTAGAGGCCTCGCTCAACAAAAATCCCGTTAATTTTAAGCTGGTAGATGTTTTGATGACAACTTCCGATCATTTACTCATCCCATCATTTGGAGGCGGCATACTACCTTTCTTATGTGAACCGTTGCAGTTGTAATGCAATGAAGGATCTGTTGTCTTCTACTAACTATGACACGCTTGCTTCTGTCCAATTATCCGTTACCACTCGGTTGGTCCTGCGACGGGATGTGATCGTTAAGGGGATTCAGCATTAAGTCACATCTCATTCCATTATCAGAGGCGCATTCGGCACACATTTCCTCTGCTTTTGGTTGTCCACCTTGTCTCTGCCAGACGTCTGTGATTTGACTCGATGTAACTTAGAATGGCATACACTACTCCGGGTCGTTTTCAGTTGTTCTCCAACATCGGGGTGCGTACCGGAGCCCATTGAGAATAGGTTAGCGCTCGAAGTTTAGTCAATAAAAGACTTTCCAGTCGAGAACTTATTCCTGGAAAAGACGTCAGAAATAAGGGATGGCGAACAAGATCTTTTCCAGTGGTTCTTCATCAGGCTATTGCAAAATCAAGTAAGCATTCACCTAAGGCTAACTGTCACTGAATCAAACTATCTACTCATTAACGCTGGCTACGTGATTTGTGTGGTCAGCATAGAGCGGATAAGTGGTGTGATCCACCTTGTTAGCCGTGCTGACCTGTGATCAAAGAAGAGACAGAACTTGGACGGATTTTTTTGTGCGCGTTGGTCCTGGCTTCGGAGCCGGAGTG